TGTAGTATCACGGGTGTCACATGATAACGTGATGTCCGTAGTGCTGTTCATGTATGTAGACGACGGTTACGGTTACGATTTTTTTTACTATAATATAGAACTTATACATATATTATAATGCATTTTTTCGAGTAACCATATTTTCAATTTAAATTTAAATATATATTTACTTGAACAATCGTTTTTGTTATAAATTTTATTGAATATTCATGGCGTAATGTACCTTCTAGTTCACTCACCATATAGTTGCATATCACCGGTTCAATATACTTATTTATATTTGTTTTTCTCATGCTATACTCAGTTGTTTTTTTAACCTTATACTTATTGCATTGATATTGTTCTAATGCCAATAATAAAGTAACTTTTTCATGTATTGGATGTATGGAGAATATTACATTTCGTGAATAATAACAAATTGTAGCATTTGAGATATATTATTTTTAAATATATATTTACTTGAATTTGTCTCATGCTATACTCAGTTGTTTTTTTAACCTTATTTTGCATTGATATTGTTCTAATGCCAATAATATAACTTTTTCTAAGTGTTTACATTTCGTGAATAACAAAAAAAACGTATCTACTAAGTGTTTCAAAAAACGTATTGTACGGTTACGGTTACCATCAGGTGGGCAGTTACCGTGTTAGCTAGTTGAATAACAGCCTTGATGGTCTAGTGGTTTAGAATACCGCTTTAATTTAGATGGTCGCGGATTTAATCCTCACAGGGTTGAAACATTTTTATTTGTATGGATTTTATGTATATATTTGAAAAAAAAATGTATTTAAATTACGTATATATTTTATTATATATATTAATAGATATGTTTATGTACAAATGTATATTTATGTTCATTACGTGCACCACCTACTATTTTCTTATCTTAATGTTACTTTCTCTACTGGTAGTCTAGAAGAGATTGCTTAGCGATAAGATCGCCTTTTGTATCAGTTTATGTTTTTTTTTTAACTCTTTATTGAACCAGACAAAGAAAACACACAAAATGATATATTTGTGTGTTTTCTTTGTCTGGTGCAATAAAGATTTAAAAAAAAATATTTCTACCGGTTGTCTAGCACCCACAACACAAGCTCTGTTTAGCTTGCGACTAGATGGCGCTGTGTGAATTGTCCAAGGCTCTAATTGTTAGGTATTATTATTAAATGAGGTCAGTAGAAGATATATAGTTAATCTATCCAACTAGAAAAACGGACGGAACCGCGAATAAAAACTAGTTCCACACAATTAACACTAAAGGACACCCCGTCAAAGCAAACAGGAATAGATCAAACGATGCAACGGTTTAGTGGTTAGCAAGAACAATTAGTCAGGACGCACATTCGATTCCTGGTAGTGCTCGCTTAATCATTACCCACTGATTTATGACGTTTCAAGAATTCGTTGCGTTAATTGTAAATTACTCTATAGTTTTTTTTTTATCTCGGACACAAATTTGACATTATCTAATGTTGCCAGCTTTTAGCAGTTTTTAAATAGGGTTGTGGCACTATCGGAAATTAATATTAATAACCCATTTTTATAAGTTACACAGAAATAATATTGAATTAACACAAAATTATAAAGTCTTGTGAAAAAAAATCATGTTTTGTGCAGATTTTTATTCTTCACAACTTTTATTTAAAATATTTTTTCATATTTCTTACCGTTATCGCAATTTCTTACAGTTTTTTTAAGTTTTTTCATCCCTTTCCTGTCAATTTAAATCAATTTTTTTGTGTATTATTCATGTATTTGCGGACTTATTATTATATATTGCGCCAAAACTGGTAACATTATGTTTCATTTAAAATTTTACTGGACTAATTGTAAAATAGTCAACTGTGTTGAGTACCACATAGGTACTGTAATTTTTTGGTATCGGCGCTCCTGACACCAAGATACAGGTCTGACCTAGTTTGGTGACTACAGATAATAGAAATAAAGATTGTATTGTAGTAAATATGTAAATGTAAATCTATTTATTTATTTATTTATAAATAAATAGATTTACTATTTGAATTTATCGTTTGAATTGATTAAAATAAGAAATCTTTTATTCATGTAGGATATTTTAGCAACTAAGTTTTTGTATTAAGTAATATTTATTTCGCTACCGTCCAGTTCAGAATACAGATTCTATTCAGAAGCACTGGATTCATTTTGCCAAGTTCGTACCTACGAATTAGAAAATTTGGAAAAAGAAATCAAATTTTTTTCATTAAACAAATCTTCCAAAACTCTACGAGAGTGTTAGAAAACAAATACTATATTCTCTTTGATGAAGTAATTTTGTAAAAAAATCCTAGTGAAGCTCGGTCGCCCAGGTACTACTCAGCTATCATACTGGAGTTGGTTAAAACAGGTGATATATAGTATTTACTATTAAGTAAGTACACAGGCAGAGAAATTTTGTACTAGATACCTAAATTATTTATATCAATACAAGTCCCATTGGAACGGAGATTGAAATTAAAAAAAATATTGTTCAAAATTTAATCGCAAAATAAAATATTGTTTGCATAACGTGGTGTACTTCGTTCTTATCCAACAATCAAAACAGGGATCCAAATTACGACCTCAGACTTATATCCGCCAGCAAAGAATGTCCTTCAGCAGCTCCATAAGTCCTTCCTTTGGTTTGGAGTGCCATCTGCACTCGCCCCCTACCGTCCGGTGAAGCTGTAAAGGCCAGCTGCGGCCAGCATCAGAATAGTTTTAAATAACAGGTGTTTTGTCACCGAACTTTCTAGATTCACTTTATCGTTTGTTTTTTTTATATACCCTCAATATGGATGTTTATTACTCGCAACCCAGTTGTATCTGTGGCTACGGCGCGAGTGTATGTCCATCTTTTTGAAATTCATCTCTGTATTCGATCTCACCTCACGTACCGACCGGATCTACCGAAGGTGGATGTTCATCGAAGCACTAGCAGAACAAGGTACGTGTGTGCATTATATTTGCTACTAGCTATAATCGCGACTTCATCCGCGTGGAATTTAACTTTATTTTTCTAAAATAAAAGTAGCCTAAGTTGCTTATTACATCAGCTACCTGCTAAAAAAAGTCCCGTCAAAATCGGTCCGGCCATTTCAGAGATTAGCCAGAACAAACAGACAGACAAAAATTGTAAAAAATGTTATTTTAGTTTATGTACCGTATTTATATTCATATGCATGTAGTAAAAAACGGTTATTTCAAGATTACAAACAGACACTCCATTTTTATTTATATTTATACGACCGATGTCGCACGGCACAAACATTTGTATTCATGAGTATGATTGTTTGTATCGGTCTGGGTGTTTTCTATGTATAATATATATGTATTTACAAAAAAAAAAATTTTTGAACATAACACGATTTTCTAGGTGGCGCTGTGTGAATTGTCCTGAGATTATTATTATTATTATTTATATGTATAGATGTATAGATTATCTACGAGTTTTAGAACATAGATTTTTTTCGTATACCTACGTAATAACATAATATATATGCAATAAGCCACCGCTATATCGGATTGGTGCGAATGCTACAACAGACTACTTTATAGAAAGTCCCTTGTCGTCGGAAATAAAACAACAGTATCAATTATTTAAACCAATTATTATATTTTATAATATTCTTAATAATTTGTTTATACAACTACACGTAGCACAGTCACAATGAAGTAAATTTATATATATTTCAATAAATATATACATTAAAATAAAAAGAATGGAAGATATCTGACTAAGAGAACAACAGAAACTATTATAATTAAAGTTTATTTACATTCAACATAAATAGGTTAATTTATCCAAATGAAAATTAATTATTAACATTAATTTATTTTACAATATTTACAACATGTAATACAATAATCGTATTTAATTATTTTACTATTTAATTATATATCATATAGTAAATTTTATATTAATATTTAACATCGAATAAATATAGTAAATCATACTATATATTTAGAATGGCAAACAAACTGACGGACCACCTGATGGTAAGTGGTAACCGTCGCATATATACATGAACAGCACTACCGACATCACGTTATCATGTGACACTCGTGATACTACTCATGAGTTGCCATTCCAGAGTACTAAGATGTCACGCCTCTTACCCTGTAATTTCACTGCCTAATCTGCACCCTACAACCGAAACAGATTACAAAGCAAGCTGCTTGGCTGAAATAGGTGAGACTGAGGTACACACGCAAACATTTTTAGTCTACTTGTGGTATATGGTAAGACTTATATTATTTAATACTTAAATATCAGCTCTTTCTTGTTACTTAATCTATAATCTATATAATTGGTTATCATATCGCATCATTATCATTTTATATCATCTAAATATATTTTACATGAACAGAAATCAACATGTATCTTTATTTTAAATATTTAGGATTGTACTGAAAAAAATGAAAACGTGAATTACTATAGAAATAACTTAACTTTAGTAATAAACAACATTTTTTTGCTAAGTAAATAGCCGATGGTTGCGGGTTCGTATCCTCGCACGGTACAAACATTTATATTCTTGACAACAACTATTTGTTAGTCGCTATTTTGCAATATTTATTCATATTTTTGTGTTTATTAATAAAGTTTGGTAATATCTCTTGCAAACAATTTTTTCAGTGTTTCCTTAATTACAAATAGTAAAAATGCATTCTTTTTAATATATTATGACATGTTCAGACACATTTTAATATTGTTATTGAAGTTAATTAATAACATTTTTATGTATAAAATTTTTAAACTTAGAAAATCATGAATTAATTTACATTATGTGGGCGGCATTATCAAAATACATATAGATAAGAAATATAATCCCAGATATGGATAGAAGTACCGTCACGTCTGCATAGGTTCGTGCCAAGAACCATTGTCGCATTTGGTCCTTTTAGAGTCGGATTAGTACTTAAAAATGAAGGATCATTCGAAATATGTGATAGACTCTGGATATTTTACGAAATCAGGATCATTCTGCCACTATTACTCCTCTATTACTCTTGAGTGTAGTGAGATATTTTAGTAGAAAATAACTAAGCCATGACGTTCTTAATGTTGATAAATTCCAATAAATATAAGGTACTTTAAGTAGTCAAATAAATAACCTACTAAACTTTAGAATTACCTTAACCTTAACATTTCTTATCTCTGAAAACCGTTTTATAAAATATCTAGTAACCAGAATCGATTTAGTTTAATAAATAAATACATTAAAACTATTTATATACAAAAGGAACATTACATTTTAGCATATATGTGCTTTTATTATGATGTTGTGTTCAGTAATTTGACAATGTGCTTTGAATGCTCAAAGAGTATCTAATTATCTATATACTCAACTGCGGTATAAAATACTTGTTTTACACTTTTACATTTCATTATTTTTAAATTAAATGAACATACAAATATTTTGATACATTTTAAATCACTTTAATAGGATTTGACAATTAATATTACGTGTGTGCACGGAGCCTTAGGCAATAAGTTTTCCCAAAATACCCAATAAAAACAAGTCAACCAAAATCATACCATATTTTCAACACAACAAGGTTATTTATCCCATCAAAATTATATACGAACCCGTAATTGATAACGATTTCCCATCATTCCCAAATAGAAAACATTGACTCCTCAGTGTGTAAATGACATTTAAAGCATTATAATGATTAACACCTAAAACAGTCTTCATACGACATCAAAATTAGAGCAAAAATTGGCTCAGTGGTGAGAAGAGCCCTGTATCGCCTGTGTAGTAAAATTAGGACAGATGCCAGATGATCCGCTTTTACACTCTTCACTAAGGTTGCAATATTCCCCCTGATTGTGATGTCGTGTGCCCGTTTTAGTCAATTGATCAATTCACGACAATGTATGTATAGCAAGACCAATGGTGAAAAAATATCATGAATATCCATTGACTTATTAATGTTTGCAGCGTCGAACACCTGTCACTAAATGTATCGTGTTATTTCAAAAATGAAATTGGAATATAAAAATATATTCATTACGAAGTCACATCGATTAATTAGAGTTTTCAACAAGAGATAATTATTATTTTTTTTTAAATATGTATTAGAACTTGCTAATAGTCGTTGACAAGTTAAGCGAGTATGTGTGGACAAAGAGTTCCCTCAACTTTATAAATTTTCTGCCATTTATATTAATAGTTACCAGATTTATCAATTTAATAGCACTTTGAAAATCTGAACTTTAAGAATACACAGTAATAAAACAAGTTTCTCCTTGCATTCTATGTTACATTGATTTCTTCCTCCTCGTCGCTTTCTGTTGCTGTACTGTGGTTGTACAGGCCTTGCGCCATCAGTTGCATAGCCAACGGGTTCCGTTGTCCCGATGCCTTCTTGATCTTGGCGCGTTTGTTCTGGAACCAGATCTTGATCTGGGCCTCCGCGAGACCAAGCTCCGCAGCCAGCGCCTGTCGCCTGCGCTCCGTCAGGTAACGGTTCTCGGTGAACTCGTGCTATTGGAAAAAATACTGAAGTTAGACTATTGCTAGAATACTTTTTAGATACTAGATGAATACAATCTCAGTATTAATTATAATATGCTTATTCTTATATAACAATATTTACATCATGTCACCTAGTTCCACACTGAGCAGAGCTTGTGTTATGGGTACTAGACAACTGATAAAAATACATATATATAACATACATGTTTCATCGTCCAGAGCCGCAAGTATTTTTTATTTACATACACATTTTTTTTTGTTGAGGCATATGTGGTGACTACACCGCAATTTAGCACAATTGTATCTCTTTTAATCTATTAGTAGATGATAGCTCAATGAATAAAATTTCCAAAAACAAAACAAACCTTTAGTCTAGCGAGTTGCGCTGCGCTGAATGCTGTTCTCGGTCTCTTCTCTTCTGAGGTGGATTTCTTCTTTGTCCTTCTACTTCTAGGACCTGGCAACAAAAATAAAAAATAATGTATATCAGGTATTTTTAAGAATGTTTCATGTAACCTCGGTAGTCCAGTTCTTTAATGCACACTTGGTCGCGGGTTCGATTTATTACACAGTACGAACATTTGTATTCATGTAATCTTAGTATTTTCTATATATGTAGGTACATATATATTATATAATGTATTACAAAAAAATATATACATCTTTTTATATTACTATCTGCCCTTTAGTATCCATAACACAAACTCTACTTAGCTTGGGACTAGATGGCACTGCATGAATTGTCCAAAGTTATAATTATATTAACTATATCATATTTATACTATATATCGTGTGAATACCGAATAAAAACCTATATATCAATCCAGGATAGGATCTATAAGTGTACCAAATTTCAACCATATCTGTTCAGTAGTTTTTGCATAAAAAACTGACAAACATTCATTTTTTCTCACAAAGTTTCGCATTAATAATATAAGTAGAATTACATAATTGAAAAACTACTACGAATATTAATATTACAAGCAACATAAATGAACGACAAAACAGATCTTGACACAGTAGGCAAATATTAAACAATCCTTCATTTTAATTAATGACAATACGGGCTATTATTGTCTGTAATTAAATATAAGAAGTGTACCGAAACATTAGCAATTAAATGAAAATTAGTCGCGCCATAATATAACCTATTGGATAATAAACCCTTCTATTCTAACTCCATTACATTTTACATAATTTAATTTTAATTACATTTCATTATTGATTGGTGTAGGTATAAATACATAAGTACATTTAAGATTAAATGAACATTTATTAATTAAAATTAATTTATAATTAAACGGCCTACGGTGATATAGCTGTTTAGCACATTGTTTTACTTTCGATGGTCGCCAATTCGATTCCTTGGACGGGAGAAACATTTGTATTAATGTGTATGTATGATTGCTTCTATTGGTCTGGATGGTTTTCTATTTATAATAATACAATGTGTAGTTACAAAAACAAAGTATTATATATTTACTAGCTTTTGCCCGCGGCTTCGCTCGCGTTAATTTATCCCCTTAGGGGTGGAATTTATCAAAATCCTTTCTTAGGGGATGCCTACGTCATAGTAGCTTTATGCATGCAAAGTCTCAGCCCGATCGGTTTAATACTGACAAAGTTTCATACATACTTTCATCCCCTATTTTATCCTCTCGGGGGTAGAATTAATCAAAATCCTTTCTTAACGGATGCCTACGTCATAACATCTGCCTGCATGTCAAATTTCAGCCCGATCCGTCCAGTGGTTTGGGCTGTGCGTTGATAGATCACTATGTCAGTCACCTTTGAGTTATATATATTTAGATATCAGTTGTCTAGTACCCATACCGCAAATTATGCTTAGTTCGGGTCTAGATGGCGTGAATTGTTAAGTGTTATAAATATTATTAATACCTACTTATAATATATTTGCTTTTTAATGTAATATCTGTCTATGTGAAGCGAAATTAACCTACCTACCTAAATATGTACAAAATAAATTTTAGAAATTTTATTTTGACCAAAAAAAATTATCTGTAAATTTATTATTTATCATATTAATAGTAAAAAATAATTTATTATTTATCATATCTATGAAATAATATTTTTTTAGATATTAATTTTACTAAAGTTCTAGGTTAATATTATAATAATGTATATTTTTAAATCGAGTTTTATGTGTTTTATTAATCGGTTTGCTTTGGTTGAAATATGCACGTAAAGGTTTGTGAAATTACGGAAGCCAGGTTAGTCATGATGAAGGCACATGATAACGTGATGTGTGATGATTTTTTTTCGGACTACTCTAATACTGTTGGCCGCAGATGTCGGACGATAGGGGACGAGTGTAAACACTCCAAACCAAAGGAAAGACTTATGGAGCGGCTGAAGGCCAACTCCCGCCTGACGGATACGACTTTAGCTGAGGGCACTACTAGGGGCTTGCCTCAGGCTGTCGTAATTTTGATCCCCGTTTGAATAAGATGGGCGGTCTGTGATGATGTAGTGCTAGATATAGAAAATACGGTTATCACTTACCATCAGTTACATAAAAATTAAACATAACCTCTCTAAATTTCCAGTTTATTCCGGAAAAAAAAACCGGATCGAATTATATATGAAACATAGATTTTTGAACGCAAACTGTGTCACGCGGACCGCGACACGCGAGCAAAGCGGCCTAACCCAAGAATTCACTTTTTCAATTTAACAAAACACTTCGTGCTACATAATTCACACCCGGAGTTGGCCACACCCACACTAATTAAGGGGGGACCACATAATTGAGTAATATTTTTCGTTAGCCGACGCCATATTGTGATTCGTTACGTGTATTCTACCATAGGGGTAGGGTGATGGGGAATTTCATGGTGTTATATTTTTTTTATTTTCTGCATATAAACTGAGCCCACTTAATGGAAAGTTGTGTTTCCATCAGGTGAATATTGTTTTAATTTTCTAAATGGCATACAAATTAAAAGCCTACCTGATGGAAATGATGAAAGTTATGTTTCCATCAAGTATATATATATTTTTTATGTTATGTTTTAGCAAGAAATTTGCGTGTTGCTCTCTTTAATAGATGTTTTTTTTTATATATAATAAATAATTACAGTATAACAAGTAAGAGGCATGCGACAACCAACAAAGAAACCGCTACACACTCATAAAAACTAAGGGCCCAATTAATGGCAAGTTGTGTTTCCAGCAGGTATATATTTTTAATTTTCTAAATGGCATACAAATTCGGGCCCACCAAATGTATAGTTGTATGTTTCCATCAGGTGTATATATTTTTTATTTTCTACATAATGGCATATAAACTGAGGGAACTACCTGATGGAAAATATATATCCATCAGGTGGATCACGACCATTGTGTACTATTCCTATAATTATTCTTATGGGTTGCCATTCCCAATGTATATTTACTATATTTTATCTTCCTTTTTTAAGTACATCAAACCGAAATTCAAGTTTGAAAACAAGCTCTTAGGTGGCAAAAAGACAGGTACCCAGATGACTTTGTACAAAGTCCACTTATAAATATCAATTTATTTCTATTCTAAAAAGTTGCGTGCAAAAGTGCCTGTGGACGCCCCGAGCCATTTCTCTTTAGTCAATTAAAAAACTAATTTCCTTAAACAATATATCATAAGTAGAACCATTTGCATAACAATAGCTAAGTTTCACGCAGTAAGTACCAGTCGTCCAGAGACCTAAAATAACGGCTTTGGATAGAACAGATATTTTTTTATGTATAATATATAGTATGTATTTGCAAATTTTCAAATTAAAATTTAAAATATCTTTATTCATGTAGGTCTATTACAGACTCTTATGATATGTCAAATCTACCGTCAGTTCTGAATGATTGACATGAGATCGAGATGAGAAGAACTGACAAGAAACTCAGTTCGTATTCTTTTCAAATTAATATTATACATGTTTACAACAACACAGATTAATTTTGAAAAAATATTCAAACTTGGTAGAATAGAGTGCCCACCAGCATATGCTATTGTAAAAATATGTTGATAACCCAACTCATGATATTTGGTAACCGTATATGAACAGGAATATGGACATCACGTTACTAATATCTCTACGAAATTAGACGGTTGCTTCTTTGTAATAATAATAATAATCTCAAGACAATTTACACAGCGCCATCTAGACCCAAGTTAAGCTAGCTAAAGCTTGTGTTATGGGTACTAGATAACTGATACAAATACATAGATTTTTTTTTTCGTAAATACATACATATTATATATAGAAAACACCCAGACCGACACAAACAATTATACTCATGAATACAAATGTTTGTGCCGTGCGAGGAAACGAACCCGCGACCATCGGACGTAAAGCGGTGTAATAAACCACTAGACCACCGAGGTCGTCGTTGCTTCTTTGTATTTATATTATATAAAAAAACTGTAGTGAGCGAGATAGTTAATTTATTGGGATATACATATAGCGAATTGTTTTTGATTTGATTTGATTTGATAGGGCGACTCATACTGCTTTCCAAGTGGGATGGGAGCGTCTTTGCCTTTTTCTTTTTAAAAAAAAAAATCTGTCTTTGGTGAGCGAGATAGGTCATTTATGAGTGTACAGGTAGCGCATTGCGTTATACAATACAATGCATGGTAAATCACCATAATCTCACAGGATCGGTAGCGTGCGACCGTGTTCGCATAAATCTGGTCTATCACCAAAGGAACATAGCAAACATAAACACTTCTGTGGTTTCCTGTGCCCGATTTATTTTCCTTTTCCAACAACCGCATTAAAATTTAAACTCTCTTCCTATAGCAATTAGATATATTTTCAAACGCAGCTCGCCACGGTCGTTAAGTCATTTAGAAACTGTGTCACCGTTTAAATTATTATGACTTCTATGTCCAGTGTTTAAGAAAGAGAATCGGTTGGACGTTAAATTTTTGAAATTGGAACTGTTAGTGGCAATGAATATTGGATTTTATCGCTTTAAGAATAGAACAGGAAATGGTGTGAACACAAATCTTTTGGTGTTTGAAAAATGCGCAGCGAATTACTTAGACGTGAAAAGCGAAATGGGTTGTATTGTAAGGAATTAGGGTTGAATATTGAATGGGTAGAGCGTATCGCATCGCGCCACCGTCCATCACCCGATAAAACGGCAGTAACCTTTTTATTCGTGTTTTTAATTAAACAAAACTGCTGGCAAAACGCTTGCCAGAGAATTTTTCGTAACAAGCCATAATGCTTTAGGCGGTGGCTGAAAAAATATCGCTTCCCTTGCATTTCTATTTTTTTAACGCAACGAATTCTCGGGGAGTTTTCTTTTTGTGCGGCCAACAGTGTTTGGTGCAATTTAATATTAATTGAGGGGGAAGGGGATTGTTAGTAATGGAGACTAATGACCACATCAGCAATGTACCATGTCAGGTTGACCTCCACGTGGCACCCTGAAAACCACCTGAAAACCATT